TCTCTCTCTCTATCTATCTATCTATCTATCTATCTATCTCTCTCCCCCTTCTCTCTCTCACACACACACACATACACACACTCTCTCTTTCCTTCTCTCTCTATTTCTCTCAGTCTCGTCCTCTCTCTTTCCCAATCCTTCTATCGTTGTACCACGGGTCGATACCTAAGCCTTTACAGCTGTTCACAAAACCACAATATTATTATGCTGTACATTCGAGACACACAAGAAAGACGTTTTGTGTTACTGACTTCGATCTTCACTTTTCCTATAGCATTGATAGATTACAGACGCTGATAGTTTAGTTTTTAGTAAGACTTTTACGTCACTTGCAACACAATTAGGTCAGATAAACGCCGAAGATTAGAGGTTCCGAGTTATTACTAGAGAACATCGAACAGGAGACAAGAAGATGAGATAAGGGCGACAGATGTTTGATAGAAAAGAAGGAGCAAACCACACCATAGCACCTGCAAACCACTGACAACACGGAAGCACACAGACATTAACATACACAAATATATACATATACTTTACATTTGGACATAATAATTTATGTATTTTATCATTACAAACAAATGTATTCTGTAGAATCTGTGTAAAAGTAAAACGCAACCCACTGTCAAGAATTAAAGTGGCGTAAAAGACATGGCTGTGTTAGACAGGGGGTTTATCAAAATGAAAAAAGCAAACAACTCCCTTTTGAGGTCTAGACCGGGGCTGATTTCAAGCTTAGGACTACCGTCAGAAGGGTTTTTGTTGTTGTTTTGTAGTATTGTTTTTTGTTAGCTTTTTGTTGCTGGTTTCGTGCAAGGGTAAAACAAATGAAATTATGTCAGGCTATGAAGACCAAGAGCCATGGTAAAACAAACACGGGGTCGCCGCCAATCGGAGAACGAGCCACACCTCTAAGTCGCAAGTTCCAAGTTAACGTCCATTGCTCTTTCTTGTTACAGATTAGGTGAACAAAACAGTGACAAGTCGCCTCTCTCTCTATTTGTGTTTGAGTTGTAGGCGGGACTTAAACGTTATGAAGGATCACAGGCTTCCCTCACCAGCAGCTGAAAACTTATTGTTAACCATTGGTCAATTTTGGTAAACGTTCGTTCGAGGCACTAACAAATAATCACAGGTGAACGGATTATGACGCCGTGGTTGAATCGCTCCACCCTCTATTGGCTTCACGAGTGGTAGGGTCGGCCATTTGTATGCCATGTTGTGAACTGTTCAAAGACACCGGCTAAATCAGAGTTGTTAAATCCGAGGCCATTGTCCGTCGGGAGAAGTCTTGGTGGCCCATAAGTACAGATCGTGGACATCAAACAAATAAGCAATCCCCTTTGTAGACTTTCCCTAAGTGGCCCCACCTAAAGAGAAGCGACAGTAGCCATGTGTAGATATTGCAATTGTACATAAAACCACCAGAAGTAAGAGGTCGGCATGTTCTTTCAATCTATCTGCCATATCAACGAAGGTCAATTGAGGGAATTGGACGTCTTGTTTAGGGAGAGTCTTAGGTAGGTCTGCCACTTGTGCGCAGTAAAGACATCGGATCTCTAGCTTGAAAAGCAACTTTATAGTTTCCCTAACACTAGGAGAGTACAGTCTCCTCAACGACTTGCAAATTATTGCTGATCCACGATAGTCTGTTTCATGGTTTCCCATGATCATGTCAGCAAGTTCTTCTCTTTTAAGACGAGTCTTGTAAAAAAAAAAGTGGTGTAAACTAGGCCTAGAGAATCTAGATCTATTGCTTTGGTGCGCAGCTTGAACACTGAAGCGAAAGAGTGCGCACGGAAAGTGGAAAAAAGGGGGTGCAAAAATAGGGAAAGGATGCGCTACGGAGAGCAACCCGGAAATGGACACACTACAGAGAACGACACGCTACGAAGTCCAACACTTTATACCCCATCC